ATCGAACGTGTGTCTCTTGGTCGCTGGGCAAAACGAAGCGACAGTTGACAGACAGCACGTGGCGAACGGCGGACCAAAACGTGACCAAGGTCGTGACCGCCTTCCGAGGCGGCATCCGGTGTCTACTGGTGATACTAAGAATGAGCCTGACCACCAACAGACCAAGCAAGCACGTTATGGACAGTGGTCAATGCCGACTGATTACGGTAAACAATCAAAACACGGTCGATCGATGCGATCGGATACGTACGCGAAGAGATCCGCAAGGGGGCAACTTCTACACACTGTTCGAACGTGGTGACTTTCGACCAACACCAGCGCGAAGGCGAAGGGTGAATGAAATGTGAAGATGACCGACGACCAAGACGAACAGTAAGCCGCTGTTGCAGCAGAAGACGAACAGATTGAGCGACAACTATTTATACCGTAACGAGGACGATAATGCGTGGCGTAACCGTCGTATATCGTTCGAACAGAAACCCGAAACGAGGACAGCATGGTAACACGGACAGGTACGAACCGAGAGCGAGGAGGTCGTTGAACCGCCTGCCTGGCAAACAGTGAAACCCTCCGGCGCGTGAACTACATTCGTGCGAAGACACTGGACAGTTTCGGCAATACCGACATGTTCTTCGGACGCCATGATTACCGGCCGAAACAAGACATGTCCCATCCTCTCCATTACCACAAGACAACATGTTAACAAATACATTCACATCATAAACGATGCGTATATCAGAAGAACAACCGCTTCCAAACGGTGTAATTGCTTTACATCGTTTTTTGTGTAACGTTACACTGACCACCAGCAAAACACGCTCTCTCGATCGTTGCGTCGTAAGAACAACACAAAAACTGTGCTGAGTTATTCGCGGAAAACAACAAAGCAAACTCCGCGTGGTTCCGTCAGCAGACATAAACAAAAACTACCGACGGAGCATGCAATATGACACATTTGGTCTCTGATACAGAGAAAAAATCGCAACACCGCTCCAATTGTTTCTAAGTCTGCCCGGCATTTACTCCGCTCTGTTCAATTTGAGGACCGTTCCTCTCCGGGTCGTGAGGTTCAGTCAAACTCAACACCATCTGAATTTAAGTATAAAACACAACTCCGGAGAAGTGCTAAATCTTCGCCTTTTTAGACTTAATCGCTTCAGCTTCAACAATCCAGCACGCATCACTCATTCACAGTTTACCGTAAACTTTTAATAAGTTTAAAAGCCTCACCTGAATCAACTATGCTCGATTCGGCCGCGAAGTCTCTAATTGATGTTGCCATGAAACGTATAGATGCGAAATTTCATTATAAGCGGCACTGAGGTAAAAGAAATGGTTAGCTTCAAATTTTCATGAAAAACATCCGCACCACAACATCAAAGCTGTCGCGTTTCCAATCCAAGCGTCAATCAGCTGTGAGCAACTGTAAATAGCATGCGGTGGCTGTGATCAGCAAGTATAGTTCAAACAGCTAAACTCACAGTGCGTTTACTTGTTACGAAATTGTACATACGAAATGTATTGTTCTCTTTTGTTCAAGATTACTTTTATTTTCCCTAAAGACTAATGCCCAGTTTATGATTATTTAACAGCAAACTGAAAAACACATACCATAGCCAGAAAGCAGTTATGTAACTTTAAGAAATGACCTTAAACATTTATGAACGCTTAATATTTTTTCGCTGC